GAGAGAGAGAGAGAGAGAGAGAGAGAGAGAGAGAGAGAGAGAGAGAGAGAGAGAGAGAGAGAGAGAGAGAGCTCACCGGTTGCTCGGACTGAATGCGCGAGGATGTGACCCGGTCCTGCAGAGCGTAGCACGATGTGACCTTGTTGGGAGTGCAACCGGTTCTGGAAAGCCGTTGAGGAGCAACAGCGGAGTGCGCGTTCAGACGGCAACAGGACTCCATCTGGACAGTTCCGCCCAACATCTTGTCCCGGTATCAGCGATCAGGATGTCGGGGAAAGAGATGGTGGGAGACCGATGGCCGGGATATCCGGTCGGCAAAGACAGGGAGTAGACGGCGCGAAGTGGAGGGGAAAGAAGAGAGATTTGCAGCGGAGTAGTCAGATGAAGGAATGTCCGCCAAAAGTCACGCGGAGGGTAACTAGCCTACGAGCGATCGCCACGTGGCTTCTCTCTAACGAGAAAGAGATGACCCTCCCAGTCCCACACTTCACTCAATGTCTATGAGCCTGATCGGTACCTCGACCGATGATAACGATCCGACGGTCAGATCTGCACCACCCAAGAACCTGCAGGAACGGCGATGACTGCCACGTGTCTCTCTCTCCTGGGCTCCCTCAGCTTGGCTTCTAAATTTTATCTGTCAAACTCTGGGCTGACACGTGTCCCTCCTGCCGTAGTTGCCGCTGTGAGAACCGTTTAGGAGATCGCGACCCTCGCGCCACGTGGCGTGCAATCGATGCAGGACGATGCACAGCCACAAATAGCGCGACGTCAGCGGCGCACCCCTGCCACAAACCGATCCGTAGGGAACCGCGCCAGACGCCAACGCTTTTTCCCCCCTTCCCCTTTCCCCCCAACCCGCCTGCCCCCGTCCCTACCTGACCCCCCGACCCCCTCCGCCCCCCCTCCCCGGAACGCGCATCTGTGTGCAACCCAGGACCATAGGTTCAGGATCCCTTTGCGGAAGAGCGGCCTCTTTGGCATGAACTTGGAGCGGATTGCCCACTAGGTGCATGTTGAAATACCACGCGTCGCCCAGCCCATCTGACCGCATGTTACACCCTTGCTGCTGTTGATGAAGTGCCGGGGTTCGAGTCCCGCTAAGGAGGATCAGATGCATAAAATAAGGGCCAGATCCCATTGGCAAAGAGGATTGGAATAAGTGGCTGAACCTGGACGTGTTCCGCACAGAGATGCAGAAAAGCGGAACAGTCACAATGTTTTGCACATCTCCACAAACACGTCCAGATTCATACTCTTTCCCACCCTCTTTGCCAGTGGTATCTGGTCCTAACTCTATCTGGAGGCGGTATATTCGCTGACGATACCTCAAGGCCGAGGAGGCTGGGGTTCCCCACATTACGTCCTGGAAGCATCGTCCCGCTTGTGGCCCTTGATCTTTGCTATCTACGGTCAATATCGCTTAAATCGTGTAAGTGGGACCTAGCCCCGGATGCATCATCCGGCATAGCTTACAAGCTGAAAAGCCCACGAGTCTTTCACTACGGACTCCGCAGCTCGGTGGCTGCTGTGAAGGCCGTGAGTTCGAGTCCTGCTTGGGGGGAATCAGAGGCGTGAAATAACTCTGAAAGACCTGGGACCGCCAAAAAGAAGAACCCCTCCGATACCGTTCAAAGTTTGCCCATCTCGCCGTCAGATGCAGTTTCTCTCCGCCTGGCGGTCTGGAAACAGGTCGTCCAGGAAAAAGGAAAAGGAAGAGAGATGAAAAATCGGGAAAAAGGGGAATAAAGGTCGAAAATGTTTTGTGAAGAAGAACCAAGACCCCAAACTGACTACCGTGGATGAAGGAAAAAGTGAACAACGTCAGAGGCCTGGCCACGTAATCAGGAGGGGCAATTTCTATCTGCGACCAACTGGTTTGAACACTTACATCCATACCCTTGGGGGGGGGGGRGGGGAGGGGTTCTCTTTTCCTTTCTTTTTCCACTGTTTGGGACCAGCCACACATGTTCACACCCACACACACACACACACACACACACACACAAACATGGACACACACACACACTCACAAACATGGGCACACGCAACACACAAACAGAAGAATTGACAGACATTCGGGTATCATGATTTATGTTTCAGACAGTAGGCTTGGCAAAGGTCTGGTTGGGCTAATGGTCAGTTCCTGCGTCCCTCACAACAAATGCAACCTCTTGGTATGATCCGCGCACACCGACCAGGTTCATAGCTGGGTCGTGCAGTCCGCTGTTCATCAACAAATGACCCAGTTCCGCTGTCCCCAGGCCGCACTACCCCAGGAAGTGCAAGCAAGGGAAGAAAGGAAAGAAAGGAAAGAAGCCAAACTGATGTACCAGTTCCTAGGCGGCAGCCCTGCATTGTCGGGGATGTGGAAATGTGAGCGGACGTGGCACGACGTCCGCGATTGGCGTTCATGTAGTTGTTCTGAAAAACAGAAGAGGCCACCCCAGTCTTGTGTAGAGAAAAGAAGGGGCAGTTTTTGCCTGTTTTTTTTCTTCTTTTTTTTTCGGTTGTCCACATGGTTCACACAGGCTTTTGTGAACAACAGAAGGGGGGAACCGAATGTCAGAGGTCCACACTTGTCTATGCCGCCCACAAAAGTCCGCCATCCATTTCGTGAAAGATGCGCTAATTTGGCTCGAGCGCGGCAGTACAGGGAGGCCGGGGCGCAGCACGACCGGGAGCGCTGCACCCCGCCAAATCCCGCCGTCGGACTATGGAGGAGCGGGCAGGTGCGGACAGCGCATGGCGACGAAGGGTGACGGGGAGCATCAGGAAGCGGAGAGACGTGGAGAAAGAGGATGCGGCGCTTGGCGAGGAAGGGCGATGGGGAGTAGGAGCGGGCGGAGAGGCACAATGGAAGAGGATGCGGGCAGGGCATGTGACGAGCGGTGAAGGGTGAAAGGAAGAGGGTTTAGGGCGGGGGGTTGGGGGGTTGGCTATGGTCGGTGTGTTAACCGCTTTCGTGGATTAAACCGACGTGCAAGATTCGCTGTCGGAGTCGTCATCAGCTGCAGTGTTCCAAGGCATTTCTCTTTTTTGATGATATGCGAATAGGGCGGAATTTCAAAAGGGGCAACAGATTGGTGTTGGGATGAGGTCTTCTCTCCTCTTTTCTTCAACAGGGTGGTAAGTGGATATGGACGGATGCTTGAACCCCCTGTGGCGCCTTGCTAACGGGTTTGGTGGGGTGGAGCCACACTTTTTTCTTGTTTTCTTTTGGGAATAGGAAGATGGCCATCAAAGTTTTCAGTGCTAGTGTTGCTCAGAGCCTAGGAGCTAGTAATGGGAGGTGGTTCTCCTCCCCCATAGATGTTGGGGTAGGGTTTGAGGGAGCTGTGGTAAGTTGGGGGTTGTTGAAGAAAAAGGGAAAGGGATTATTTGGTGGATTGATGCTCTTATTGTTACGTCCTGGATTAGTCCGGAGGTCATACTTAGGGTCGTCTTGTCGGGGTTGATGCTAATACTGATTACATTCGATAGGTTTCTCTCTTTCTTAGGCTCTGAAAAGTAATTCTGTAATATTTCCTTAGTGTTGAAATTTCCCATGATTGCTTTAGGTTTTGATTATAAATCTTGTCGGATAAATCAATTGGAAATTTTCATAGTACTGGTTGAAAGCCCTAATTAGGGCAACTGATGGTATATCCCAATGATAATTTGTATGATTGTTGTAAAGTTTGATTGTCGATCTGTTTCTTCTGCTTTGTAATTCCTGATTTACAGTCCTGATTTACTGTCTGAGCATCTTCATGATTTACGGTCTGAGCGATTTCCTGAACCTCGGGTCCGGGAAACCAGAGTCGAAAGTCCGGTTGAACATCAGAATCGATTCTCTATTGTTTTTATCTACTTGGATTTTCTAACCATACCCCCGTCTGATTCCCCCCCTTCCCCTCCATTAAGATTCTTGCCTACTTCCTCCCCATTCCCTTGAGTACCCTCGTTCGTTCCTGCTTCCTTCCCCTTCACTTCGATTTTTGCTAAGCCTCATGTTAAGTGATCTTTCGGTACCTCCCTCTTGATTAGCCTGATTGGTCGCCTTTAACTCCACTGGCAAACACATTCAGTGTCCCCTTCCCTCCCACAACTTGTATAGAGGGTCGCGGGCGTTTGGAAAGGAAAGCGAAACAAGAGGTGTCGGAAAGGGTTGACGACATAATCACCGGGAGAAAAGTCGGGCAGGTAGTCAAACAAAAGGAAAAAGGGGGTTCGACAGAGGGAAGAAGGGGGTTGGGGAAGAAAGTGAGGCGGCGAAATAAGGACAAAGAAAGGGGAGTTGGAAGACAAAGGCAAAAGTGGTGGAAAAGAACAAAGACCTACGGAGGGAGAACATGACACTAATTAAAGAAGCGGCCCAAAAAAAAAAAAAAAAGGCAGGGCGACCAATGATCGAGTACCGTGGAGCAATGAGACAACATGTAGGTCGTGGTCTCCATCCTCGGTTAGAAGGAGCTGAAAAGATGAAGGAACCAACAACACAACTCAAACGGCTCAACAACCACCTCCAAGGGGTCTAGCCTCCACAATTCGAACGACTCCACAACCACCTCCAAGGGGCCTCACGGTGGACATCAACAACAGGACGGGGTAAGACCATAGAGAGGGATAGGAAAATGACGCATGACTTCGAAGAGACACAAGTAAGAATCCAAGCCCAGGTTCCTCCAACTTCTTTCTCCACAACGTGGGATGATAGGGTGAAGCGCCCGTACAGTGGGGAAACACTGAAAGTTAAGAGGAAGGAGGCAGAGGTTGGGGAAAAGGAACAGGGATTGGCAATTCCTCTGGATAAACTGACAACAGCAAGCGTCGTTTTCCTCACAAAATTTCTAACTAATCCTGAAGACCGAATTGTTAACCAAGAAGGGAAGCAACACAGAGTGAAAGCCCTCCCCTCCGACAAAGTTCAAGAGACAGATGAGGTATACACCTGTCATGCAAGTAACTTGAATTGGGTGTTCTATGATGATGCCACATACAAAACAACTAACGACAAGATAGCTTGGATCAAGAAGAGGTTAGCCATCCTCAAGGGGTCAGAGGAGGGCACACGCGACTTCTTCCTAATCCAGCCTATCTCAACATCGGTCTACACAGTCATCTGCATGTTTGAGGCTGACAAATGGTCAATGGACACCTGGCGCACTGGGAGCGTTCACTGAGGCAGATCCGAAGTGAGGATCTATTCGTGGTCCCCCCAACTAGAGCAGAAACCGGAAAGAAAGTGTGATCAGCTAATGGCAGAATTCCACTGGGTGGAATTTAGGCATGTCCCCATAGAGATTCAAGCAGCGTTTATGCAGGACCTGGCACAAAAGTATGACATAGTTGATTTTATCGACCCCCTTCCTACACATATAGCTCGCGGAGATGATTACTTGATGGTGGCACTAGATTTGCCCAGAGACCATGTGTTTCTAATTGATGATGTGATACCCTTCCGCATTGGGGGACGTGAGTTTTAGATCCACACGACCCATAAGGCTCGTCCCTGGTGCTTTAAATGCCAAGCGTACGAGCATACCTCCACAAAGGCAGAATGCCCCCCCCATCCGGCTAAAAAAATTAAGTCAACGGGCCGCCTCCTTCAGGACCCATTTAAAGCAACCCACAGGAGGACGGTGTACCCATAGCATGAAAGATGGGTTTATGTAGATGAGGAAAAACAAAGGAAGGGGGGGGGGGGGGGGAGTGGGAAGGGAAGGAACCCATCAGCTGGGAGACGAAACCCTTAGATAACAGGGTCCCGCCACAGTCGGTGGAGAA